CGGAGCCGTGTGAGACACTTTTTTTTATGGATGGGCGCTTTTTATTTAACTTCTTTTGGACTGATGCATGCAACACCCGCTGAGTGGCATTAAACAGCTTGAAAGATCAAAGACAATTTTTAATATAACTCCAACTGGATTCGTCTGAAAGAAGAAAGTCATATACACCTAGGATGAGTTGAGGGTGAGTAATTTATAGGCTAATTTTAATTTTTGGGTGAACTAACCCTTTAAGTGGGACAGACAAGGACGATGAGATGCAGATCTAGTTGTAGCTTAACACTTTATTAAAAAATGAAACAGAATGGGAAGCCACAAATGGCAAGAAACAAACACAACAGCTTTACACATGACATGCAAAGACAATACCGGACAATGAATTAAGGAAACTGAGGGCATATAAATACACAGAAAAATGAGAAACTTAACAAGACACAGATGAACCTAATCAATTAACCAGCATGGATGATGGGGCTTTGGATGACCTCCATCGTGGGAATGAGGAAACTTAGGGAGGCCTCCATGGCTGGGATGCTGGATCTTGGAAACTGGACGGGATCAGCAGAGACGAAGGCAGGGCCGTTTCTAGTCAATTTGACGCCCTAGGCGAAATCCCTATTGCCCCCCCCCCCCAAATTATATATATATATATATATATATATAATTATTCCTTTTGGACAAATGTGCCACAAATACTGCCTAAACAAAATACAGATTTTGTGCACTTTATTTGCTGTACCAATATTTTAAATTGGCCTTTGAACTTAGCTTTATTGCATGGCAAAAAAAAGTGTTACCTTGCCAAAGCACTGACAGAGCCCACTGATCTAATGGCGTTGTTGAGCGCTCCAAATGCAAACTTTGCATGCAACAATCGGGCAGCAATTGACAGCACTCTGATCTAGTGGCATACAGGCATCGTCAGATTGACAGTACTCTAGCCCAATAATGTTGGGGGATCCAGTGGGGGCGGCAGTCATATTTCAGGGTGACCATGCCACTCTTTATCACAACCCTTCTAAAAGTGCCAGTACGTGCGCTCATTGGCGCCCCTTCAGCTGGTGGCGCCCTAGGCGACCGCCTAGCTCGCCTATGCCTAGAAACGGCCCTGGACGAAGGACCTTAGAGACTGGAGAGGACCAGTAGAGACAAAGGAGCTTGGAGGCTGGACGAGACCAGCAGGTAGGAAGGATTTTGGACAGGACCAGGATTTTACACCAGCCAGACGGGACTGACAGAGGAAGAGCTTTGAGGTTGGGAAGGCAGGTGGGACACCACTTCAGGATGGCGAACTGGATTAGTGCTCCTTCTGGAACAGACATGATGGCTGCCTCTAGCTCTGGAATAGACATGGTAACAGGCTCAGCCTCCAGGAAGAACATGGCCTCTGGCTCTAGCTCAGTGACGCACAACTCTATTGGCAGGAGGTCCGTGGCGAGCATGGTGCATGGTGGGTACATAGTGGTCAATGCCATTCTCCACCTCACCCATGGTAAAAGAGGGGCCATTTGTTGCGAGAATCAGCTCAAAGTAAGTAAATTTCCCTTGAGGATCATAAACAAAACAAAAAAAGGAATGTTGTGTTTTATATTGTCATTAGTCCAAACAAATGGAGAAAAAAAATTTAACAGAGCTCCCCACTTAAGAAGCGGATTCCAGACTCTCCCCAACAACAAAACCAAGGGTCCAGGAGGGAGGTGGAGCTGAGGCGGACTGGGGGAGGGATGGAGGGCCAGGCCCGTGTGGTGGAAGAGGGCCTGGAGAATGAAGCTAAGCCAGCAGAACAAGAAGCAAGGGCAAAGCAGGGAGCCAAGGTGGAGCAGGTGTCCAGGGTGGAGCTGACGGGACAAAAGACCATCTCAGCATAGCTGGAGACCACCACAGTGGAGCAGATGACCCCAACAGCAGAGCAGATGGGACTGAAGACCTCCATGGCGGAGAAGGTGGAGTTGATGACCATGGTGGAGCAAGCATAACTGGAGACCACCAAAGCAGAGCAGATGGAGCTGAAGACCACCAAGTCAGAGAAGATGAAGCAGGAGACCACCAAAGCAGAGCTGGCAAAGCAAAGGACCACCACGGTGGATCAAGCGGAGCTAGAGATGACCATGGTGGAACAGAAGACCACCACAGAGGAACATGTGGGACTGAAAACAAACAGCACAGAGACGTTATAAATGGCCTCTCTGGTCACAACAGAACAGGCAGAGAGTTTGAGAACACCCTCCTTGGCTGTGACAGGACAGGCAAAGGGTCCAGAGTTGGCCTTTGTGGCTGTGACAGGACAGGCAGGGAGTTCTAGGCGACATCTGTGGTCGGGCAGGCAGGGAGTTGACAGGTGACCTCTGTTGTCATAACAGAACAGGCAGGGAGTTCAGGAAGATCTGGAGCGAATAGCGCGGCCTATGGAGGATCAGGATCAGACGCCGCCACCTCGGGAGGATCTGGAGCAGATGATCCCACCTTTGGAAGACCGAATGAACAGTGTGCAGACCAAACACACAGGATGGCAGTGGTCATTATCGGGAGCGCTGCTGATGGTGGAAGGAACTCCGAGACCACCTGACTCAGATGTGCTGAAACCGCTGAGGCTGTTGGGATGCCAGCCGCTCATACCAACATAACCGGTGGGTCCCCCACACTGGAAATCAGCCAGCCAGCAACAGCTTACCAACATGCAATTTTAGCCTGGTGATGGATATGACGGCTTTGCCGAATGGCTTAACGCTAGTGAACTATTGCTGTGTGTACCTGATCGGTTGACCAGATAGCTTAAACTAGTGACCTGAGTTAAAAGTGTTTCTGGGCTAATGGACCCTTAGGTTTATTTAACTAATGACCTAAACAACTATGTGTGTCTGAGCCAATAACTCAAACTTACCTAGGTAGAAATAGCTGCTAATATTTCTAACATTGCATTTGAATTTTGCCATGCGTGCTGCTGCTATTAAAATTCACTAAACTAGCGATCTGAATAGGTACAAAATAAAAGTCCAAACAAACTGAGAACACTTAACAAGTATGCAGATGAAACTCAGTAAACACTGTCATGTTATTTTGTGCTCGGATGCCTGATGTTTAGTAACATGATCGTGTGAGACAGTTCTGGGAAATAATTATACAAAATAATTTTGATGACAGACTTTTGCTCAGGTATTTAAGAATTATTAAAACAACATTTGAGAAGGTGTGCGATGAGATGCGTTGCTTAATCCATTTATCCTAGGTAAAGTCACATGAGTTTTTGTTGCGCTTTGAGGAACTTATTCAGTAAATGTGTTTCCATTGTAGTTTATGTACATATTTTATTACTGGCTATAAATACTTACCTCAATTGAACACATACATTTTTTTTAATGAAAATCCAGCATTTTTCTATACAATATTCCAAAATTCACAAAAAAAATACATTGATGGAAACATCGCTATAAAGCCAGGCACAAAAATTGAGTTCAACAAACTGTCATCCTGTGTGAGGAGTAGGAGACGGATAGATGCTAGATCTGTTGTATTTCTTGGTCCAGTATTCTGTCATGGTGCGATCAAGCAAAGATGAGTAGATGTGGATCTAATTGAAACTTAACACTTAATTAAAAAATACAACAAAGAAAGAGAATCCACAAATAGTGAGAAACAATGACCGCAATAGCTTTACATATGACATGCAAAGACAATACCAGAAAACGAAATAAGGAAACTGAGGACATGTAAATACACAGGAAACAAGGAGCTTAACAAAGCACAGGTGAATACAATCAATCAACCAATGAGTAGCTATAGAAACCAAGGGAACATAGGACATAGGGACTTCACATAGGAACAGAAACCAAAACAGAACATGGCAGATTATATGTGCATTTATTTTCTGTGTCATAACCATGGTATGTCAACTTAGTCACATACTGTAAATAAATTGCCTGCAACTATTTCATTATTTTTCTCATTTTAATTTGGTCCTATTAGCAGCTGGAAACACCAGAAAAACAAAATGATTGCTTTAATTAATTTGGGTATGACATACAAAATATGGTTATTTCATGGTCATTTTATGGTTCTGTAAATTACATTATTACTATTAGAGTGAATGACATATATTTTGGTAGTTTAACTCATTAATCTTTGTTTTGCCAGGCAGACAACGCTCTCAGTGTATCTGCTGTCGTTTGTGGGGATGGTGATCTATGCATTCACCCTGAACTTGGGTCATCTGTGGGTTGTGTTCCTCACATCAGGACTGCTGGGGTAAGAGTTGCAGTGATACAACCTGCAGTAGACACAGAAGTGTTGTGACATTTGAGGCACACTGGAAAAGAAAAGGATTTTCTTACTTAGTTTTTGTCTGGTTTTCCACTACAAATATCTAAACATTTTTAAATCAAGATACATTTACCTGAGAAGAAAAATGACATGAGATGTTAAGTCTTGTTTTCTGGAAATTGTATACAAATTTTAATGTTTAATTTTTTTTTTAAATGTATCAAAACTTAATTAAAAAAGAAAACGCTCCGGTTATTAACATAACCTCGGTTCTCTGAGATATGGGAACGAGTGTTGTGTTGAACACTATGGGTAAACTCCTGTTTACTCTGAATACTGAAGCCTGATTTGTTCACATTCGTGTAGCTACACAAACAAATGGCGCTTCAAACCGCCAAATGAGGAGGAGCCGACTGCTATATAAGTCAGCTCTGAGCGCCATTTCGTCAGAATCTTTCGACTGATAGCGACAGTCATTGACTGAAATAAGAATTATAAGGCTGCAGCCTTGCAGTCTTCTGGTGACTTGTACCAGCCGCTCAGCTGGAGCGCTTCGGCAGGAAGTGACACAGGGCCAAACAGTCCCTTGGGAGAGATGGGGAAGTCAAGGAAGGCAATCTTGTCAGCGTCCTTGATTTCCATTAGATTTAGCCAAAGGTATGCTCCAGAAGTTTGGCCTGGAAAACTTGGAGCACCGCCATCATGTGAAGTAGGGGGTGTGCCATATCCTGGTGAGTTCTTCATGAACCTCCAGGAAGAACGGGATGGGCCGTTGGCAGGAGGATCATTGATGGCATTCTTGCAGAAACCACTCGTCTAAACAGCCGCGGGCAGGTTCTTCAGGAGCAAACCAGTCCAAGCCGAGGTCCTCCACAGCCTTAGAGAGAAAGTCGATCAGCTCGCAGTCCATGCTGGCCCGTGTTGCTTGCTTTGGAGGAAGGGTGTCAGGGTCTTCGGCGGAAAGATATACCCACTCTTCAGCATCCGAAGCTGTCAGTGACATGGAGTCATCAAGGACAACTTCCTCCTCAGACCAGATCAAGCCGCTCACAGCTGACGAGGGGCGCTGATCCTCACGTGTGAAATCGGCGAGACGAGGCGCTGCGGGGAGAGTGAAGCACACAGGAGCTGAGCCAGTGTGAGATCACACGAGCACGATCGTTGAGTCCAATTGCCCCGCTGTTTCTTCCTCTGAGGCTCCTGGGAGGGAAGAAAAGGGAGAGCTGACTGGGGAGGACCAACTGCATGAAAGAAGGCGATCCATGAGCGATGCAGGGTGAGACTCTTGCTCTAACAGTGAGAGCACTCTGTCCAGGTGAGCACAGCCTCAGCGTGAGTGCTGCCCAGGCAAGCGATGCACGCACCGTGCCTGTCTGAGTCATACATGGGTTCCCTGCATGAGCCACACTCGCGGCGCGACATTTACAACAACGTTGCTGGAAATTTGCTCAGAAATGTGCTCTTATAAAAGTTAAGAGTCAACCACGCCTACCTAAAACGGCTCGTTCTAACACGCCCCCACATATCTACCTCACTATGTGGGAAGATTTGCATAACGCCGCCCAAATGTTCACGTAAAGAAAGAAGGCGTAACTTTTATTCTTGCTGTAGTATTGTTGCTGCCGCCATGTCGTGAAGACGCTGTGTGCTTCGTTGTGAAAGCGAAACTACTTTCAAAAGAGGACGATATCCGCTTCAAATACACAAAATAATGTTCTTTTTAGCAACGTCATATGACCCCTTTAACCTACTGGTTGATATTTTTTCTTCTTTTAAGCATAAACTCACTAAATTCTGATGTTTTTCAGAAAACAAGACTTAATATTTTGCTTCTGAAGTAAATGTCATTATTTAAGAATGTTTAGATAGTTGTACTGTAAAAGACAAAAGAAAAGAAAACAAGATAAATAAATAAAATAAAGATAAATAAAATAAGACAAAATAATACCAATTTGTAGCAGTGTAGACAACAAAAGATCAAAACCAGTGTCATTAGTGTAATGCCAGGCCAGCAGAGGGAGCCCTCGCCCGAGTATTGACTGTCACGCTCCCTCTGCTGCCTCGTTGGTGACTTCCTGTTTGGCAGCCATAAAGCATGGCTTGCCCAAACACTCTCTGCGAAGTATTGCCAGTCTCACTGCCTTACCAAGCATTCTATTACCATTGCCTGTTGATTTTGTGTATGACTTCTTGCCCTTTTGATTCTACTTCTGATTATTGGATTTTCCCTCTGTTTTGGCTGCCGATTGGACTGATTGACTGTGTTTAGACTACTGCCTTTTTCTGACACTGATTCTGGATTGCCGTCTAAATAAACTTCTGCATATGGATTCTAACTCGGCTTCAGCCTCCTCGTTACAATTAGTTAAAAATAAATATAGCAATTATAAATAAGTGCACTTTTCAAGCAAACCATTTGACAAAAATAGTTTGCTAGTTGTTGAAATGATAAAAAAGTAAAAGTATTATGAGACTGTGTGGTTGCCAAATGTTCCTGAGATGTTTTTTAAAGCTTAAGGTGACATTGTTACACTGTTATTACACAAATAAGCACTGAGTAATATTTATTAACAACATGTACAGTACTTACTATAAAGATAGGGTTTGGTTTAGGGTTAGTTGCTTGTAATTATGCATAATTTACAGTTTTTACTGTAGCAAGTACATGTAACAAATGTAACTGTCACATTAAAATAATTTGTTACCAAAATGTAAGTTTGTGTCTGTTTAGAGAAAAGTTAAACTTTTCTCAGCTTTGTCACAGGATACGCTTACATCACATTTCTTCCACTCTGACCAAAGTGCACATGTACCTGTGCTCGTGCACAGGTATAAAACATGGCAGGATTTGGCAGAACAAATGTCCATTTCACACTTTTAAGAGCCGACATCTAATAATGAAGTATTGTGATTTATGAAAGATGCTTTTTGCCCCATGCATGGTTGTTATATCATCAAATAACTGGACTGTGCTAACCAGCCAAATCTTTACCTCTTGATTTCTACACAGACTGTCCATAAAGTAATTATATGGATCCACATCTAATTATAGTTCAGTCATGACAACTCTCTGAATAGTTTTAGCAATGGATAAATGACAATGTTAAATGGATATGACAATGTTAATGATACTGATACTGAGCAAGTATGGACCTGCTCTAGCAACTGCTGATAGATACACAGACATGCTGCTGTTAGCATGTAAGATATGCTGCTGCTGCATGGATAGGCATACTTTTATTATGTTTTATGCGGCAGTCGTCCGTGAGGGGCTGCTGCTTTTACTTTCGTTATGTGTTTGCTTAAATGTTCTTAAATTAGCTTTTAACTTTGTTACACATACATAAATCCCATAGCAGATCTAGACAGGTGGTGCTGGGGGAGGTGGAGGGTTTCAGATCAACTCTGATGGTGTGCAGCAGGACCAACATACAGTGAACACTAAACCTGACAGTTGAAATGTTTAGATTGGTCATTGACCTATTAGCTTGCAACACCTAGAGTTTCATGACTGAACTAGATATATGTTTTTTATGTTTATGTGTGCTTATGGATGACTGATGAGTGACTATTTCCAGTATCGCTGCATATAGTGCAGTTGTTTGGACCGGCTGATTCTTCAGTCTCTTCTGTCTTTGGCCGCAGGTTCTTCATGACGGGTTATCTGCCGCTGGGCTTTGAGTTTGCAGTAGAGCTCACGTACCCAGAGTCAGAGGGAACATCATCTGGACTGCTCAACTGCTCAGCGCAGGTCATGCATCTGCTCTTCACTTTTAGATATATGGATAAGTCAAATCTAAAAAGACATTCAAGGGACCTATTCCCACTACTGTGAATCAATGCATGGTTGCAAGTTAAAAATCCTAACTTATTGATTTAATTAAAACATCTATTGACATAATACGCGTTGATCATTACATCAACTTAATATTTTCACTTAATCATGTACATGCTAATATTTTCACTTAATCATGTACATGCTAAATAAGTTATATTAGTTTAGTTACTTTAACAGAAATAGATTAGTTGATTCCAGAGCCACCACTCAACTATGTTGAAACTTACATTTTTTGAGTAATCAACTTAAAAATAGGTGCTTATCAGCATGCATATTACTAGCATATTGGCTGTTTATTAGTGCACTTATTAAGCACATATTAATGCCTTGTTCTGCATGGCCATATTTTAGATCCCTTAATCCCTTAACAACTATACCTTATGAACTATTAGTTTTTTTATTTAATATTGAAATCTGAAAAATGAAAAAAAACGGCACATTTTTCGTTTTTCATTTGTTCAGACAAAACGAAAAGTCAAGAATTTGTTTTCATTTTTCGTTTTTACGTTCAGGGATAGAAAACGAAAAAGCAACTTGGATATTCGATCTCTACATGTGGGCGGTAATGAAACGCCCCTCTCCGCTGATTGGTCAACCAAACATTTAATAGTCATAAAAAAACACAATATGGATTCTTAACGTGTTTATTTCTACTTCATTTGATTTCTTTCTCTTCATCTAAACAGCCAGATTAATGAATGGCTTGACACAAACCATATCGAGGCAGAGCCTTTGGTCCTTTGGCACACCGGCTGATCTATTATAGCTAACTATCAAAATCTGTGTGGCAACACACTGCAGCGCGGAGAGAATGTATTGTAGTGAAGCACAGACCACTATCCATTTATGTGAACATACAGTCATAACTTTTGTGTTAGACAATACGCTGCGTTTTAGACAAA